GTTTTACGGGACCAGGTCAGCGCCTGCCTGTGAAAATGTCCCAACTCAAAAGCTTCAAGGTAATTTTTTTTTAAATTATAAAGATGGACCGCTTTCTTATTAACTTTTTTTATAGAAACGTTTTCGTTCGGATAGTATTCTTCGATATGTTTTTTCTTCGTCCCGCAATAATGGGCAGCAGCCCTGCGGCATGTGGCCCGCTCTCTGACACACAAAGCGCGCACCGCGCGGGCTTTTGCACCACGATGGTTATGCATGAGCGACTTTTGCAGCATTGTTGGCATTAGCGTGCCATTGTTGTCAGGCGCGGCGCATTCCGCGCGTTTGATAAATTATCAATTGTTGCACTCCGCGGTATGAATGCGCCTCTCCGCGCGCGCATGCAGCGGGACAGATACAGGGGCCTAACGGCACAGGAAAAGGGGGGAGGGGTGGGGGAGTTGGGGGAGGATGATGGGGGAGGGGGGCAGGGCACCGGCAAATCGGACTAGACACCTCTTTTTCGAGCCATTTATATCCCTTTCTCACAGATGTGAGTGGACTGGTGTGCACTCCGCCTCCAGTGCAAAAGTGATGTTACGGCGCAGCTACGCCCCACATCTGTCCGCCGCGTGGAGCTGCGCTTCATTTTCCCAACAGCGCCGTGCCGCCCCAAACTAATCATCCGGCATTAGTCGTTTTGTTTACCCGGCACGCATTTCAATGGGTCGTGTGGGATCTGCTGCCGCGCCGGCCACGCCCAACCGTACATCGGTGCCCCCTATGTCCCCCTCTCCCTCCCCCCCGCGAGCCCCACCGCACCCGCGGCACGGAGCCCCCACGCGGAGCCCGCGGGGACCAGCGTGGACAGACCATCGACATTTAGAAAAATATAATTGTTTCTTTGTTATCGTTTTTGTTTAGTTAAATAAAACACCGTCGTGGTTCATCAAGCAGCATACTAAACCACACCAGACTTAGCTCTTCTTCTGCCGCATTTTATTGCCTGTTGTGAAGGTTCAAACGCACTGCATAGCAGTGAATTCCATTAACATTTCTCCATAATTTTGAGCAAATTACGTGCGCCTCGTACACTTTCTCTCCGCAATACTTCTCTCTCTCTCTCTCTCGCACACGTGTACGAGATCAATACTTAATGGATTTGCTGCGCACCTGGCTGTTGACTTTTACCTCATTGAACATTCATCGGCCCCGTGCTGTGTTGTTATGTGGTCTGAGGCCCCCAGTTCGTTGTGATTTCGAAATATTGCACGAAATCCCCCCCCCCTGCTTCTCTCTCTCTTCGGCCCGGTTTTGGTATGTGAAACAACCCGAACGCAACGAACAGCGGTCCCTGAATGACGCCATGCATAATAGATGGCAGTGTGTGGGGGGCGTTGCATATGTAGTACAACAGGTGCCTGAATTAATAACGACATGAACTATTTTGGGGATCAGCCCGTCAGAGAAAAGTGGTAAGAAGTTTTAGATTTTAAAATCAAGTGTGCTCTTTGCAGAGCGCTTTAGAAAACACACAAAAACACAGCGTATTTAAAACGTGAGTAAAACACAGTGATTGTATTTTTGAATTCTTTTGGAGGCACTTTTGATCGATTTCACTCTTGTTGAGGATGTCAGAGAGCACGCACATTTCAATTGTTCCAGCACCTCTATGAAACAAGTGTTTAATTTGTCACTTTAATTGATGTAGCGAGTGATTCAGAGAAGACGCAGGTGAGGGAGGGTTTGCCCACAAAAGGGGCCTTGGCGCCTTACAGGCAGAGCGAGACGGCAAACCCTGAAGCACCTGCGTATTATCTAAATCACCCGGTAAAAGTTCAAGTGCATAAAATTTCGATACATTATTGGGTCTAGCTTCTCTGCAAATCTAAGTTCAGAACAGGAAAGCTCGTCCGCGAGTTCGCCATCGTCACCAATAACTGTAAAACTTCGTGTCCGATATGCATGCAGTAGAGTGCCCACGAAAACCTATAAGTTCTGCACTTCTTAGTAACAAACTTTTTTTTTCTGCAGCTGCAATTGCAGAACCATTTAGTTCGCCACTTGGAAGAACAAAACGTTCCCCATTTACTACTGTAGCAAAGGTCTGCACTGTAAACCCAAGTGTGTACATAGCACACTTGTGTACTTGAACGCACACACAAGGAAATGTGTGCCTGGCATGGAACACACTAGGGAGTGTGTACATACATGGCACACACTTGGAAGTGTGTACTTGCCATAGCACTACGCTAAGTAGTGTGCACTCACCAAGAAGTGTGCCATGCATGCATGTACACACAAGGAAGTGTGTACTATGTAAACACTTGGGTTCACAGGGTGCACTTGCATTTGCAGATATTAAACGGCAATTAGTGTATAAAATATAGACATTTTCGAAAGGTATAGTAGCTGCCCACCATACGGTCCCCATTGATTGCATAGAACTGTGTGTGACCAAGTGTGGAACTTCAGTAATACACCATAGAAGAGTGTGCAAATTCAGGGCAGGAGCACGCTGGTTTGCAAATTTTGCACATTGTTTGTTTTACTAGTGGGGAAGTTACTTTTGTCTGTCGCATGCGGAGTCAAGCAGCGCAAGCTTTGAGTGGCCCTGTAGCACCAGGCCCCTTGGGTCTCCCGCCTGACGGCCCTAGTGCCATGGAGCCAGAAAATTTCGGCTCGTGAGCTTGCATAATACCACAGCAGGCGTAATATCAGCAGAGTCTGCGGAAGATATGCGCGTTCGCTCTCCAACTTCGGCCTTAATCCAGCAAGCTGGCAGGGACACTGTGCGGGGCCGTAGTGGTGTAGCGCGGGGGTGTGGGTGGGGGGCGAAGAGCTCGCCTGACAGCTTAGCGCCTGCAAGACCCGCCTGGAAATCGAATGCAATGAGGGCAAATTTGGCATTTGACAGCTAGGAGTTTGAGTCTTACGTTGCAGAGCCTTTTCAGCAGAAGCGCCACAAAAGAAAGCTTTGCTTTGCTATTGTTGTAAGACAAAAAAAAATGCTACTTTGAAAATTTTAAAGGGTGCAGTACAGTATTTTTGGAGGCGCTGCCTTACTCACTACCCGTGTATAGGCACTAAAAGAAGGCAATAAATAGCCATTTTTGAGAAATCGTTTTTAAAGGGGCCGTTTCATTTTTTTTCTCAGTAAAATACAAATCTCCAATAAAAGAGTATGAAATTTGAACATATTTCGTAAAATTTTATGACTAATGACCTACAAATTTGCATTCATTACGTAACATTTTTGTAACTTTACGAAATTTGTAAATTGACACCAAATATTTTTGTAAACGATTTTTTAGAGGTATTTTGTAACATAAGTTTCGGAAAATCAGTAAAGCTTTTTACAGTGAACATAATTTGACGTGGTCCAGAAAACAAGTCCACCCCCACAACGGATCACGAAGACGGAGGCAGAGTTTTTCGTACCTGACCAGTCCAGAGACGGGGGTGAAGTTGTCGCACAGGTTCCTTCCCAAAAGTGACTGGTAGGACGAGGTCCCTCTCGCAAAATATGCGCAACATTTCATGAATTTCTTCAAAAAAGAGGGAGAATAATATGCTTATAAAATGTAGTATCCTTACGGGCATTAAGTTCAACTTTTCGTTTACCTGTGGAACAAAAGCTCAAATGCTTGACTTTTCTCACAGTCATGAATTTGTGTTAGGAATAAACGAAAGTCTATCAGTATTGAACTTAAGATTTTCTACAATACTGCATGGGACTGAGAAGTGTGATGAAAGCTTACAAAAGCTCATTCTCTAGCTTAGGTTGGTACCACCGAAATACAACTAATACCGAAGGCATGAGAACAAAAGCCACAATGCAGGTTCTGGGTATGTCTGATTACTATCCACAGATTTTGATCTCTTTTGTTAACACCTGCTGCCAATTTTTACTGGGGCGCGGTATGGAAACGGCAGGGATGTCATTCTAAAGCTTATTTTCTGATCCTTAACTGTGTATCTGTGCACTTTTTCTTTAAAATTAAAAGGAAAGGCATAAAAAGCCATGCGAGATTGTTTGGCCGACTGACCGACCAATTTCCACCAAATTTCGAACGTGATTTCCTCAAAAGTTTACAGTTAGATTGAGGTCATACTTAATCTAAATTTTTCTGTGAAAATATAATGAAAATTGCTCGGGGGAATGGAGTGCCTGTGTGCGAACAATAGGTCCCTATAGGGACATAAAACACTTACGTAATGGAGACTTGAACGCGCTCATTTCTGATTTTTCACAATCATGTTTGAAATATTTTTAGGGCGTGTCCGTGTGGATATCACTGGCAACTTCGAAAAATAGGAAAATATAGTTGGAAAACATTGTTGAAAAACAACGAATAGTGTACATCAGGAATATCATGGTCAAAAAGGAACATTGCCCTTTGCCCTTTGAGCAGACTGCAATACGCACTGTTTGGAAGAAATTTAAAAATCAACAATGAAGAAAAAAATCCTCCAGCATATTCATAGGAAAACTCTAAAGTATTAAAAATCTGCTTGAGTGAAAAGTATACCGCAGCGTAAAGCAATCACAATTTTTGCAAACAGTTCAAAACGCATCACGGTTTTTCGATTTTACTCTCTAAATCCTATGCATCTTGCTCTGCAGTATTGCTGAAACTGTTATATTTCAACACTTTTGGTTTCTCGGTAGACCAGTGTAAAGTGAACTGGCAAAAGTCGTCAGTAACACCGAGTAATAAGCAAAAACACTAGAGCACAAAACTCTTAATTACATCACAAGTTACCGCACTGGCATGTTCACGAATTGCCCAAAAGATAACAAACTGAATACACCATTGTGGTTCGCCTCAAATAGCCAAAAATTGTTGTTAGAACGTGAGCGAATTTCGAAAGATGGATTTACTTCTTTGAAAAACAAGAAAAAATCAAAGAAATGAAAGAAAGATTTTCTGATAAACATGAGAGCTAAAAGATCAATCGAAGCATTTGAAGAAGCAAGCTCACCAAAAACTAATTACGATTTCTATGACTATCCTTACCTTTTCAAGGGTAATCCAAAATATCCAATAGTAAGGCACATAAATCCACTTTTTGTCACTTTTTTCTCAGAAAAACGCCGTTTCTTTCATTAAAATAATTTAACTCTTTACTCTTTCATCTATATTTTTTTTAGTAAAAGAAACTAAATCGTATCCTCTTCCAGAGCTCGTCGGCGACGCCTCGTCCTCCGTGTCCGAGAGACTGGCGCGCGCGAGGGGCGCTGGAGGCTGCGGTCCAGCCGCACGCTCCAGAGCCGCGCTCGGACATCGCGCCGCTGCCAAAAAATCTGCCGAAATGAGGGTGGGCCGCGGGTAGACACAGCGGCACTGCGGGCTGGACCGGGCCGGGACGGGCCAGAGGTGTAACGAAATTTCCCCTCCACCGCTCGAAGCTCCCCCGCCCGCCCTCCCGCCCGCGCCCGCGCGTTTTTCCGCCCACCCGCGCGTCCACCTCTTTTTTTCTCTCTCTCTTTCGCTTTTCGCTGCCCCTGTCTCTTTCGCTCACCAGCCCCGGTCAGGGCTGAGCCAGCTCAGCCCGTTTCTCTCGGTCTCTGTCTCTCTCCCTCTCTCTTTTTCTCTCAATCTCCCTTCCTCTCCTCCCTCTCCCTCTCTCTCTCATTTTTATCACATTCGCCCGGCTTTTTCGGGAGTGGGGTGGCGGGGGATGGGCAGCGTGGGTGGAGGGGCAGTGAATATGTGGACGCGTTTTATTCGTAGTGGGGGTGGCTCCGGCCTTGCGTTTTTGGACGCCGAAAAAGGGTGCCAGGGGAGGGGGAAAAGAGGGACATATATGTGTATGGGGCGCGCGAGTGAGCCAGAGTGAGAGAGAACGAGGGAAAGGGGGCAGAGTACGGGCTGGAGAGAGAAAGCCTGATACCGGATTTGGGGCGCGAGGAAAAGAGAGTGTTCATATGTGGGTGTGGGGAGATGGCCCGCCTGGGTGGTGGGGGCTGCGAGTGGTGGGGGTTGAAAAAAGTCGGCGGACGGAGGGACATAGTGGAAAGAGAGAGAGCGAAAAAGAACGGCGACTCATTCGGACCGCACTCTGCGCATTTATCCGTTTATTTCTTTCTCTCTTTCCCCCCTGGACGCGTCTGCGCCTAGCGGCCCCAGTCCGGCGGGCTCCTGGTCCGGCAGTAACGTCCACGCTTCTCCTCCGAGAGGGTCAAACCGTCCCCCCGCGAACCGCCTCAGATAAAACCCCGCGACCGGTGGTCCTCGCTTCGAACGCCACGCGCCACGACTACTACCGCCACGCTACGCCACGCCATGCTATCGGATATTTTTCTTGACCAATATTTACAGGCACACCGACAGGAAGACTGTTATCGAGCTCTGCCGAGCACGAGTAATCGAAAAGAAACTGACGGAAGTCGACGGAAGTGCGTGGGTTGAACGGCTATTTCTTTGCTTTCCGGTGAACTTTGTGTCACAAGGTAAAAACAATGTCTGATTAAAAAAAAAAATCCTTAGTTTTTGAGAAGATTTCCTCAAAATCCGAAGGGGCTTTCCTCAAATATCGGAGTTACTCAATGTTTTCCCCTTTTTACTCATAAAAGACCAGACATTGGTTTTACCTTGTACGCGTTGTCTTGGTCGAGCAGAACTCAGCGTGTCTACAAACGCGCGCGGAGTCCAAGCGCGCCAACGACGGCGAGCTCCTGGTTCGGCTGCCGCCCCCACCGGTCCTGGAGCGGTCCTCCGCCCGGTCCTGTTTCGGGCGGTGCGCGGGCGGCAGATGTCGTGCCCGACGGGGACCGGGTCCAGGTTTTAGTTGCAGCATCATCATCCCCCGCACGACGCATCTTCTTTTATCCCATTCTTTATGATTTTTTGTCTTTTGTCGTCCTCCCCCACTCGCTCTCACATTTTTCTCTCTCCCCCGCAACGATGCGCGCGCGGTGCACCGACCAAACCTGTCCGCCCGGCGCGGCGCGCACCGGAGCGCAGCCACCCGCGCGCGGCACCTGGAGCAAGTGGTCCTGCAGCCTCCCAGCGCTGCATCTCGCATCCCGGCGCTGCTGGACCAGCTCCAGCGGCCGGTTGCGCCACCGCGACTGGCTTTGCTCTCCCTCCACCTGGCAGAAGCAGAGGAAAGGAGAAGGTCGAAGGGAGCAGAACTCATTGTCTCGAAGAAGGAGTCGGGGAAGAACAAAGTTCGGCGGTGGCAGCATCGTCACCTCGTCGTGTTTCGAGAGAGCCATCAACACTCGTGTCGCAATTTATTTTGTTGCGAGCATTACTATCTTTATTTGGATGTTTTCACGCCAGTAAGGGTCCTCGTTTTCCCTGAGTTTCGCGTGAAAGGTCGTCATGAGAGCATTGTGAGTGGTAACTAAGTGCATGCGTACCTCATGCTCGTGGTCCTTCCTCGCCATAAACACTCAACAGGTGCCGAGGCAGGGTGAGGTGGGGTGAGGCGAGGCTGGGTGCCGGTCCACTCGGTCAGCCGGTGTGCGGGGCTCAACGGGCCCGCCTAAGGGGCAATTCGACAGCAGGGGGCTGCAGGGGTGGGTCAGGGACCGGCCAAGCCGGGCCAGGGCCCCGGTCTACTGTACCGGCCACACCCTACGACGCTCGGCAAGCAAAACAACAACTGCACAGTGTCCCAACAAGGCACTACTTTTTCGCAACAATGTGGGCAGCTAAAATTTTCTTTGAGTGCAAGAAAGAGCCGATTCCCTAGTTCATCTCCTCGTGTGGTCTGAACTCTAGATGGCCGCGGAAATTTTTCGTTGTAATAAGAAACAGCACTGTGGGTCTTCAAATACTCTCCTGAAAACATGGAGACCTTTAGAAGGCTACAATTTTCTCTAGATTAGTCACTTACGCCAAGGCTCATATCTAATACTGCAATAAAAATGTCCACGCGCTCATATATAGTGTTCACTCGATAATTCGCCTGGGAGCACTCTGCCACTCTGCCTCTTCCAGTTATTGCTTTTCAGCGCGCTCCCGCGTTTCGTGTGCAAATTCACGATCATTACCTAAACCTTGTAATCGTGAACCAAACTGCCGGCGGCGGCTGCGGGATGCGGGGCCTAGGGGTAGGGAGAAAAGGAGAGGGGGGGGGGAGCTGCCCCGCTCGGCCCCGAACAGCCCTTCCCCACAGCGATTAGAGCGCTAGCGCCCCCTTTTAACGCCATGTGTGTGCTCGGGGGTGTAAATGGAAATGAAAATAGCGAAGATTCTCTCTCTCTCTCTCTCTCTCTCTCTCTCTCTCTCTCTC